ACTGGATAGAAGGCAGGGATTGCTGCAGAGCTTCTACCAGCTTCACTGCATGTTTGCACTGAGTGAAGCAGGAGGGTGCACTTCTCTCTTCTTCTCATAAAATTAGGAGAGAGATACATCTTGCTGACAGTTTGCTGAAATGTGCATTCCCTGCTGATTTGACATTGGGCAGGAAGAGTGTCTACAGAATCAATTTTTAATAAATGTAAACAACTAAATTATGAATGACAAAAAATATCACTGAACAGTTAAATATTAATCATGTAATTACTTAAATTAATACTTTTAGTGCAACATTGTGATAATGTTTTGCTTACGCGGTGTTGCTGTGCTGGCTGTGTGGGTGGGATGGGACAGAACCACGGTAGCTCCCCTGTGATTCGGCTTGGGAGCAGAGGGCTTTGTACTTGCTACATCCCAACTGCTGGCTGTCCCACAGGTCCTGTGATACTGGGTGCTCGTATGAAAGCCTCTGGAACCAGATTTACTCAAAGAATCCCAGACTGGTTTGGATTGGAAGGGACCTTAAAGCTCATCCAGTTCCAACTCACTGCCATGGGCAGCGGCACCTTCCACTAGAGCGGGTTGCTCCAAGCCCCATCCAACCTGGCCTTGAACGCTACCAGGGATGGGGCAGCCACAGCTTTTCTGGGCAACCTCTGCCAGTGTCTCACCACCTTCACAGGGAATAACTTCTTCCTAGTATCTAATCTAAATCTACCCTTTTTCAGTTTAAAGTCATTCCCCCTCATCCTGTGACTACACACTCCTGTAAAAAGTCCATCTGCAGATTTCTTGTTGGCCCCTTTAGGTATAGGAAAGCTGTTATAAAGTCTCCCTGGAACCTTCTCATCTCTAGGCTGAACAAGCCCAGCTCTCTCAGCATGTAAAGCCTTTGAACAGAAAACAGAAGTTCTTTCTTAGTAAGAGTTGCCAAGAAAATGTCTAAATTGTCCCAGACCAGAAAGGAACCCCCTCCACCCCAAAAATGTTCCTATCCCAAAGTGCCATTAAACACCCTGACAGTGGTGTGTGAGGTACAGATCTGTGGCTGTGCACAGTGATGGTCTCAGGAAGACTCGAAGGTGCTCCAGAGGGAACTGGGGATGCCAAAAGCCCTGGGTGCTTCTAAGATGGAGTTGGATGAGTTTATGAAAGAGATGGTGTGTGGTGAGCTCTGTTCTGGGGGCCGGAGTCCCTGCTCTGCAGGCCCACCCTTGTGTTCCCATTTTGATGGGCGCTGCAGGGAGCTCATATAGACAATCAGTTGCCAACGCTCTGGGGGCTGTGAGTAGCAGCAGCCATCAGTAGGTGCTCACACACAGCTTCCTCCCCTGCCCCAGAAACTAAGAAAAGAATTTACTGGCACTCTTGTCCTTGTGGGTTGGCTGTCTGCATTGTTTGTTTTTAATCTAATAAAAGGAGATCTTAATATCATAGTAAAATCAGTACAAAGGTAGAAACTCACCCTTTGGCGTTTTGGCAAAACATGATTGAAAATGTAAAAAGCCTTTAGCAGAAACAACAGAAGCACAAAGAAATTGTAGAAATAGGATCAACAGGTTGTGTTTTGGGTGTTGGGAGGAGCAGGGAAGAGCATCCAGACAGGATTTGAGGTGCTGGTGATACCTTCTAAGCTGGAGGCTGGACACTGACCCTGTTAAGGCTCTGCTGTGCTGGGAGATGTTACAGCGGTGGCCAGGAACAGGGACCCTGCAAGGATCGGGGTGGGCAGCAGTGCAGAATGGTGAGGAAGAGCTTATTGCTGGGAGGGCAGGAGGAACTGAGGAGGAGGGATAGATGGCTGGGAAGAGACCATGCACTGGGAAGATGGTGTGGACGTTGCAGGACTGGCCAGGGAGTTGGAGGCAATAGAAAGGCAAGTTTGCATCCTTAGGCTTGCAACTACTAGGATTGATCTTGGCTCAGTCGGTTCCCTGTCTGGAGATTAAATCTTGGACAGAAGTTTTGAGATGGTTTTAAAATTAGAAAGTGAAGCTTCCCATAACTTCTAGCTCTCATCACATGGCAGGGTGCTGGAGCTTCATGAGCCTGCCAGCCGGTCTGGTACCTCGTTTCTGATTGAGCACTAACAAGTTTGCACAGTGCAAAACCATTCCCATTTCCTTGCACTTGCTGACTTGTCTGCACACATTTTGTTTCCATGCGTTTGCGCAAAGTATTTCATTCTGGCCGCCCAAGATCCACCCATTGAGCACATCGGGTCCTGGTGGGGCTTACAGAGCTGCCCCCAGGCACTGTACTCTTTTCCTTGGCTTCGCACGCCTGTCGGGCGAACTTTCTTTCGAAGCTGCTGTTTGAGTACACTTTGTGCTCTTGCAGTGTTACATTTTCTGGTGGACTTTTCTGCAGGTATTTTTTAGCCTGTCAAGAAGGGAGAAGCCGGAGCGCTTCCTGTGCGCAGCATTACAACATGCTGCAGTGAAGCTGGTTCTTGGAACATAGCAGCCCCCGAAAATGCCAAATAAATCCTTGAACTATTCATCACTCTGTTTTGGGGTGGCAGTTAAGTCTTTCAACACTCTGCAAGTTTCTTTCCCCAGCAGTAATTTTGCTGGTGAAGAAATACAGCTCAGGGCACTCCACAAAGTCCTCAAAATTCATGTTTTGTTTTCATTACCAAAAAAAACCTTCACTGCATTGAAGAGCGGCCCATTAACATTTCCTACCCGGTCTTCCCTGCACCCTGTCACTGTTGGCAGACCTTTCCCCATACGCGTGGCAGAGCCCAACAGACTTCACAGGGCAGTGTCAGCGAAGGGGAGGAGGTTGAAGCCACAGCCTAGCTTATTGAGCTGTAAGATTCCAAAACTTCCAGTAGCCACCCAAATTTATTCAATAAATGTACTCTATTGAATCTTAAGCTGCTCAGTCAGTGTTCCCTCTGCTTTCAGTCTCACCCTCACAGCACACTGGCTCATGTGTATGTCTAAGGAAATAAATTGTCTAGTTCCTGGTATAAAATTTAACGCTGTACAAGGGAATACATTTAACCATCTCAGGCAAATAGCCCTAAAATAAAAACGAAAAAGAAAATAAGTACTGGAGGCTTACTGAAACTTGGGATTACATAAATTAAATGCCGCAGTGTGAACTGGATGATGTTCTCTGATATCATTGAAGACCTAGAAGTTGAAGAAAAACAGTAAACATATTATAATTAGGGTTTAGTGGAGCACTTGGTTATTCTCATACGTAACTCAGACTAGCTGATTGCTGACATAGACATGAGAGGAGGCAGTAAAAGCTGGAACTTGCTTAAGAGGGCAGGAAGGCTTTTTTAGCTGAATTCAGTGGGGACTTGCTAAGTCCAGTTTTATTTAATATCTCCGTAGTTAATTTAGAAATAAATGCCATGTTAATTAAATCTGCAAATAAATTAGCAAGTTAAAGGATCAGGCTGAGGTGCAGCCTCAGAGCCTGAGAGCAAATCTCACCGCGTTGCACAAACCCACAGCCCAAGGCATGGAGTGTGAGATGCAACCGGAAGCACCATCACTGGTGATGGAGCAAACCTGTTCCTTCCCATCACCGGGGTGATGGAGCAGACCTGCCCCTTCCCATCGTCAGGGTGATGGAGCAAACCTGCTTCTTCCCATCGCTGGGGTGGGTGTACGCCTTCCCCTTGCATCCCCTTCCCTTGCTGCTGGACCAAAAACCTTGGGGTGGTGCTGCTGGAAGGATGGAGGCAGTGAGGCTGCAGCTGCAGGATCCACCAGCAGTGTTGGCCATTGCCTTTTGGTATGGTTTAGTGAGCTTGTTACCATGGTAGAAGACAGCCCTGCCCTGGTCTCAGTGAAGGACACAGCAGGATTGAATGGCTGAGTCGAAGGGATGATTTGACAGTGAAATCCAGCAGGCTGTGGGGTATTCTCTCTGGGAAATGGAAGAGACCTTACCGGCAGGATTATGTAAGACTCAACTTTGAAACACGAGACACTCTGCAGTTGGGAACAATGCTGCACTGTCAGAGAGATGGACTCAATTACTTAATAGGTCGTTGCTGTTTGTCTCCTGTGATTTTCCTTTCAAGAACATATATTCAGCTGGGTTATTTCTCATGGGAAGACAAAGCATTCTGAAAGAAGCCAGGCATTTGGAGGGGAGAGGCGGGAGGAATGGCAGGCAAGCAGATGCCTGGTTTGCTTTCTGCAGAGTGTGCTCCTCAGGACATGGAGAAAGCTGGGTTGATATAGTTGATTTTGGTCCTGTAACCAGCTGATCATCAGGTCTCATAGGTCTTCCTTCCTTTTCTTTGCTCGTGAAAGATGTGTTACATTGCTTTTCTTCTGTCAGACTCTGATCCCCAGGGCTACTGGTGGTGGGACTCTGGTCCCACAGGCTTTTGGGACCAGAGTCCCCCAGGCAGTACTGCAGATGCTGCACTGGCCACTGATTGCTGGTTTGCTAAAACATTTAGTGTTGTATGGCCACTTATCCAGCACTGAGGGGTTCATGCAGCTCATCTCCATGGATGGCCAGCCTCTCCTCTAGCACAGAAAGGTTTTGATGGCGGTTGATCAGAATGACAGCCAAGCTGGAGGAAAAGCTCATGGCCAAGAACCCATCTCTGAGTAACCAACCGTTTGGTTCTCCGTTAGCAGGACATGTGGACAGCGTTGTATAATGGTGACACATGTTCTCACCAAAATTACTCTGCCAGCCATGGGGAGAGCATTTCATAGGCACTTTCCTTGTTGGGGTCATGGTCCTAATACGCAGCACTGATTCACGGCAGTGCAAGCTCCAGCCACTTGCTGCTGGTGTGTGCCTGTGCACACGTGTTTCTTGTGTGTGAGCGTGTGGGTGCATATGCTTGTCTAAGGCATCTGTCTTTGTGCACTTGTTTGTCACTAAATTAAGATATTACTTCATGCACACTGAATTGATGCAACTAAATTGGGTGGATGTTCTTAAGCCCTGAGGGTGTGATGAGATTTTTTCTCTTTTGCCCATTTCTTTTTCTTCTCTTTTTTCAGAATAAGTCGCCTGTTTAATGGCACAGAGCCTATTGTCTTGGACAGTTTAAAACAACATTATTTCATTGATCGAGATGGTGAAATTTTCAGATATATATTAAGCTTCCTAAGGACATCTAAGCTACTGCTCCCAGATGACTTTAAGGTAAGGAAAGCTGTAGTATGCAACCTATCTTTTCTTCCTGTTCTGTCATTTGTTTTGGTGCGGGTTGAATTGTGTGCTTGACCTAAACACACTTAACTAAATGTTGCTGTTTATTGTTAGGATTTTTAGTACTTGTGTATTACACCAGGGATGCTATTATTTAATAAATGGACCACTGGTTGTCATGGATACCATAAAAACCAAGGAAGCTTATGGCTAAATCAGTTTTTCTAAACTAACTGTATTTTCTCACATTTTTAGCTTACTTATCAGGTTATAACAACAATTAAGAAGCAACATCAGCAACTAGCGCTTACCAGGGCTTAATGCTCAGGATCTGAAAGAAATGTTTAAAATTTGGTATTTAGAGGACTTAAATTGTATAATTTCTTTTCTTGTTGGTATAAAGAAGAGATACCCTTAAACAAGCCTGTGAGGATTTGTGTTAGATGCAGATACTTTGATTTCAGGAAGTAAGCTTTTACACGATTTATGAATGTGAAAATATTCTTGGGAGATGGAATTTACAGAGGGCTTTTTCAGGAGCATTACGTGTTCTCTGTGAAATAACGGTGGTGGCTGTCACTTTGCAATCCCTGATTGTTTCTAAAAGCTCTCCTCTGGAAAGCAGTTGGCTTTGCCCTTGTGAAACTTGTAACATTGTCATCCTTATGTATGAAAATTAGAAGACAAAAGTGCCCGGACTGTAGATGACAAGATTCAACAAAAGCACTAACTCCAGGATGAAATGATGACTAAACTGGGATGGCAGTGGGGCTCTGCTCAGTTAGAGGATGTGGAACATTGCTGAAAAGGAAAATTCTTGCGCCTTGCAGTGGGATTTCACTTTGCTTGTTGGCCTAGGTAGGCAAGATAATTTGGCCAGTCATGACTGAGTCAGTCCAGATTTGTGGTTGCTCTGGCGGCTTTAGCTTTGGAGTACAGCTGATCCTCATGCTGCAAACCTCTCCTCAGCCATTCTTGCCTAAGTTACAGTTGTATTTGACTGCTGCATGTGCCTTGGGAGAACACATCTAATCTTAAGGCAGGGAGAAATGTTGGCATTTGTGGGTGGTTTCAGAGCTCCAGCCCAGAAGGGCTGCCCTGGCACTGCTCTTTCTGGAGAGTGGCGGGCAGGTTATGGGTTGGGGTGCACGAGGCAGGGTGAGAGCCAGAGACTGAGGGGTGGATGCAAGAAAAGTTCTTTAAAGAGATAAGAGAGAAAACACATGGGTGGGAGTGAAGCTAAAGACCGGACTAGCTGTGTGGATCGTGGAATGGATCAAATTAAGGAGGGCAGATGGAGAAGCAGTACAAATGAAAGGCCAGAGGGATGCTTGAGGGGCAGCATTTTGGGCAATCTCTTGAGACAAGAAGGCATGCGAAAGGAGGGTAAAAGAGAAGTTCAAGATGATCATAGCCTCAACTGGCATCCAGATTTCAGAGGTGCTGTGAAACAAAACCAGCAAGATTCATTAAGAGCCTGGAGGTGAGAGTGCTGGTGGGTGCCAAGGACTTGTCTGCGCAGTGAGCCCTGGCAGGGCTGGAAGAGACTCAGGAGAGCCGGCGCTGTGCCAGGGCTCAGTCCGTTGATCCAGACCATCTCTTTGCATAGGGTTAACTGTATTTTATTTAGTTCTTCCCTGGGAGAGCTTTAGAGCAAACCCCAGGCTAATGAGGGCTCAAGAACAAAGCAAAGTATTGCTAGGTAGGGAGTAACTAAATAAAAATGCATAGAAGAACGTGCTGCAAAGCTATATTAAAATTGCATTGTAAACGGATTTGACTTCACAGAAATTGTGTAATTTTACCAGCATGATTAAAGTGACAGAAGACAATAATCAAAGGAAGCAAATGGAATCACTTGGTGTTTCTAAATGCAAAACTCTATTTAAGGTATAAAACCTGACAGGTTTTCCAGTGAGACTTGCATTAAATGTTCTTTATGTCAAACAAAGCATTATCAAGTGTTTTGAATATTTATTAGTTTTTACTCCTTAATTTAATCAAGCAGTTTATTAGCCTCAAGGTTTAGCCAAGTTGCTTTTCAACTTGAATTGCTGCTCAGATGGTTATTTTGGAAAGTTTGGAATGTTAGTACCGCACTAGCATTATTGTGTTTGCTATTTAAGTGTTGTTTTCAGACTAAGTTAACACTGAAATGCAGAGAAAGTGGGTATGTGTTCCAAGGCTAGTGATTCTTTATTATCAAGTCTGACTGGTGTGTTTACAGTGAATATTAATTACACTTCCAACTACTAATAAGACAGAACTTGAAAGTGTTTCGTGTCTGACAGGTCTCCCTGCTGAAAGCAACATTCTAATAGTTCATATAATTTTCCTGTGTTCAGGGGATTTTAAGCCACATGAAGTATGCTGAGAAATTACTGTGAGCTGTTTGGCTTAGTACTTTGCAGCCAGCCTGTGCTGAGCCAGGCAATGGCGAGCAGCCCAAAGCTGCTCACAGCTCCTCCTCCTGCACCGGTTCAGAGACCTGTGTGTGGGACCATGACATCTTGAGCAACGAATGGCCTGGAGCAGAATGTGGAGCCAGCACCCCCTGGTCTGCCATGCTGCTGGGTTAGGGGATGGCTGGCCCTGGAGCTGCCTCTCTGCAGCTGCCAGTTTGGGTTGGAAGGGACCTTAAAGCTCATCCAACCCCCTGCCATGGGCAGGGACACTTCACACTAGACCAGGTTGTTCCAAGCCCTGTCCAACCTGGCCTTTGTGCCTTGCTCTTCCTCCATTGTCAGAGGTGTTTCCCCAGGACATTTCTGAGCGCCCTTCACTGCCAGTACATAACTTCATTCAGAACCACGACTCATCACACCTACTTACTTGAGACTCACACCTCCCTTAGAGATTGTCAAACAAAACCAGATATAGGGAACGTGTATATTATTGCTCCATCTTAAGGAGGGGAGGAACACAAATACACAGGACATCAGAGTTTTGTATGGAAATAGATGTCACCTGTAGCACCAGAAGCATGGGGCCCAACACGCTAATTTATTACTGTTTTAAAATCAGTGCTTGCATCTGATTTTAAGTGCTCTCAAACTGACCTTACCAAATGGTGCAGTTGTCATCGTAGAAGTGAGCAACTTTTTTCTCGTAGCCAGGAGTCAAATCTTCACAGCACTAAAATATAAAAGAAACATTGACTAAGGATGACAGTTTGCTGTTTCATGTAACAAACAAGTGGAAAATAGGCAGAAAGAGCCATTCCAGCCTGTTCAAGAGTCACCATTAGGTACAGAACCAAAGGACCTCTTCAGTACTGAGAGAACGGTATCAGGTTCACAGGAGACACTGTTCAGTTTTTGTTGGCTGTCTACCTGTAGTTAGCTGATCTTTGTGACCTGCTGGCAGTGATGTGGAAACAGCAGCACAACTGGCTGTGCACTCACACTTCCCAATCTCCTCCTCAGCAGTATGTCATGCTTGTCAGTGGTGACTGTAGAATCCACCAGGAAAAAAGCTTTCCTCCCAAGTCAAGAGCAGAAAATTATTTTGTGAAAAGCTAAAAGCTGTGTCTTTGAAGAATCTGTTTACCTCTCCTGTGAGATCTAAATGTCCAGAAGTTGTGGATGGGGAAAGGCTGGGTTCACTCCACCTCGCCAGCTGCTGCCTCTTGCAGGTGACCTGACAGAGCTTCCTCACTAGTTCCTACAATATCCACAAGTTGAAGGCTCATGGTAGCTCATGAAGGCTTTTTCATAGAATCATAGAATTGTCTGGGTTGGAAGGGACCCTAAAGCTTATCCAGTTCCAATCCCCTGCCATGGGCAGGGACACCTTGTGCTAGACCAGGTTGCTCCAAGCCCTGTCCAGCCTGGCCTTGAACACTGTCTGGGATCTGCATCCAATTTCTGTGGTACGTTACAGCAAAATCAGAGGCTGGTCTGTCCATGTCCCCGTTCCCCTTTCAGTCTAGCAGGGAGCGCATGAGCAGGGACCTTGGCTGGTAGGAATCACCTTAGGAGTAAAGTGATTTACCTTAGCTAAACACAGACAACTTCATTAGCTACCATACATGCTGCTTGACTCTGGGCTGTGCTGCCACGAAGTGTAGTGCCGTTAAGAAGCTGTGAAGGTAGGGAAATACTACTTAGAAGAAATGGGAGATGCATCATTAGTCCCGCAGGACAAGGAACTCCTGGATGCTGCACAAAATCTGCTGTGGAATGCTGTCTGAGCTCAGCAGGACTGCACTGACATCAGAGCTGCAGCCTCTCTGAGAAAAAGAGTGCAATATCTGTGTGCATCTGCCAGCATGCGCCTGGGACAAAAGCCGTACCAGGTTGCTCTGAGGCTGAGTTTCAATGAGACTGTGTGCACTTTGCCACTGTGCTAAGCAGTTATTGCCCTGTAGCTACTCGTGTGCCTGCCTCAGTGAAATGTGCCTCTTCTGGATAGGTCTAGGAAGATTCATGTCTGTGTCTGCCTTTGATAACTTATCAAAACCAGCAGCATGGAAATGTTTTCTTGTGGCTCCTGTGGCACCTCCATGGTGAGGTCCCTTGTGGGTTGAATTCTACTTCACATTTCATATTAAATTTTTGCAAATCATCAGGATAGGATTTTATATCTACAGTGCAAGGGCAGAAGTAGCTATGTTGGTATTACCTGTCCTGAACATCCTTTGTAGGCAAACCAGAGCTGGGCATCGCTTCCAGTCAGGTCTCAGATGCACTGTACTCTGAGTGGTGTATAAAACCTGAAAGACAAGATCTTGTACTTAGCAGTGTGGTGAGTCCATTACCCTTGCCAAGCACAGGCTTCAGACAACTGAACCCCCACAGTGGGAGCCACTCTTTCTCTGTTCCTCATTTGGCAAAGTTCTCTCCCTAAATATGTGATCAGATGCCTGAACAGTGCCCAAGTCACTCAGTGCAGAAGCACCAGCAGTCCAGTACAGGGTTGGGGCAGTGGGGCAGGCTGGGATACTGGTATCTGGGTTGGGCAGTGTGTGGTAGATGGAGGGAGGGCCATGGAAGGTGAATTTTCTCTTGCCTAGCAGAAGACACTTTTATTGCTTTTATATCCCTTTATTGCCACTGCCTGATAATAGGTGCCCAGACTCCCTGACGTTGCATGCGTGTTGCTTCTCCACACTAGGACACCTCAGATTCCCAGGTTCTGCTACAAACCCCTTCTTCCAGGTGCAGAACCCATTCCAGGATATTTGCCTTCAACCCAAGTATGGAATGGACACAGAGTATCTTATTCCAGAAACTAACCCAAACACCTTGGCTTAACCCAGGCAGTTGTGACCAGCTGCAGACCTCATCCCACAGAGCATGATGCTCCAGTGCAGCCCGATTTCCACACAGCCATCTGAAGCGTGGCTGTATCCTCTGGGAAAGATAATAGTGGAAGAGCTGTTTAATTTGAAAACTGGTCGTGTTATCACAAAATTATATCAGAATGTAAAATTTGTCTTGTTTACTTAGATATTATTTCAGATAAATAATGGCTAGCAGGAGCCACTAAGAGCTGCATCTGATGTGGTGGGCTAACAGCTGGCTAGGGGGAGGTAGAGGTGGTGTGGTCCTCGCTGTGTTTGTGTTATGGCTTTACTGTTTTGGCCTGGAGGTGCTGGACCAGTGAACTCCTGTGATTCAGGATACTGTCAGCCTAGTCCAGAGCCTGGTGAAGTCAGTCAAAAAGACTCTGGTGACTCTGATGGGCTTCGCATCCACCCTCAGGAGCACTGTACCTCTCTCTTCTTCCAGAAATAAAGGACTGCTTTTTATAGTACTGTACCATCTCCTCTAGGTTTTGCTGTTGAGTTTACTTAGCACATATTCACTTGATTGATCTTACAAATAATACGTTATTTTTTAGTGACCATGAACACAGATAGGTTAAAACTAGTTTTTCAGGACCTACTGAAAACTGTGAGATTGTCCATTGCCTTCAGTAAGCACTGGATGCTCCTGTTCACTCTCCACAGTTAAATTTTTCCTTAGCATTGAAAGTTTTCCTTCAGTAAAAAAGATACATGGGACCCGCAGATGCCCAGTGAATGTTTGATAGCCCCCCTGCACACACCTCTGTAATGAGCACAGTTGGGTTGTGTGCTGTGTCCCCCAGAAGAAAACTTCAGAAGGTTTAGGGCAAGGGCTGTTTTTAAGTTAGGTCACTAATCTCTGTAGGTTTAAACTGATCCCATGGTCAGTAACCAGGGAGCTTCCCTTGTGGGTACAGAAAAGCAGTAATGGTTTTGGGGAGGAGAGAAAATATCATCCATCAGGGAATGAAGCTTTGGGGCTGATGCTGTCTTTACCTGAGATTGGGTGATGCAGCCAGTCTCCATGTCTCTTTGTCTGGCCTGTAACCAGCTCCAGTTGTTTGCAGCATGCTTTGTATAGGGTTTCTTCTTTAATCTTCCTGTTGTTTTTCATCTTCCAGCTACTTCCTGTGTGTTTGTTGCCCTCATTTCTTCCCACTTGCCTCTTCCCCTTTTCCCTCTCTGTGCCTTCTCTGGTACTTTTTTCTCCCTTAGCGGAGTGCCTATTGTCCCAGCCTTAACAGACATCAAAGAGATGTAAAGGATTGGATGTCCCTTTTGAAACGCGATAAACTTACCAGTGTCAGTGAATATTCATACATCTCCAGGCTGTAGGCAGCCCTGGGGAGACGGAGCACCTCTCCACTACCAGCGGTGGGTCTGTGTGCCAAATTTGAACAGAGCTAACTGCTTTGGTTCAGTAATATCCTGCAGCAACAGATTTTACAGGTTAATTCCAAGCCACTATGAAGAGTCACATATTTTCTGCTGCTTGTTCATTGGCCTTTGATTTCCCTGCTTCCCCAAGTCCTGCAGCGGCAGCACTGCTATTATTTTTCATGGAATTTTGTTGCCTGTTTCTTGATTACTTCTTGTCATGCCATTCTTCCCAGTCCAAATTATACCAGTCGCTTCACTCTTGTGATTTTTCATTTTATTTCATTGCAGTCTTTACATCCAGGTGTGTTGACCTGCAGCATGCTCCACAAAAATCACAGGGCATACCTGTGATGCAGCATTTCCATCTGCAGACAGGCATAAGAGCCAGGAAAGCAAACGACACGTCTTTGCAGAGAGGAGCTGGTGCTCTTGTTGTTCCTCTTACCTTCAGGAGGCTGGAGGAGGTGGTGGGGCCACTGTAAGCAAACTGTCAACCCAGTGCTCACCCATCTCTTCCTTCTCTGGCTTGTCTTATGGGCTGCTGACACCCATTGTCTCATCATACTCAACAGTTGAGGTGGAAAGGTCTGTTGGTGATCTGATGAAGAGCTGTTAATGAGGATGTGCAGAAAACAGTCAGCAAACTGGGAGCTGGATCAGATTGTGAATTTGAATTGCCCAAAGCCCAAGTGAGGTGATGGACAAATGGCTGGGAAAAACTGTTTCTTTTAAGTTGTTGGAGTGGGGTGGTCACTACCACTGTATAATTTTCCAGGATTCAAAGTAGACTTTAAATATAAGAATAATCATTAAATGTAGGGAGCAGCTACCGTAGCTGAATTTCAGATTCAGCAAAGACAGGTGAGAAGTGAAGCTGAATTTACATTTCCGTCTCCTAACGTGTGAGAGGTGACAGTGATGTCCAAGATCTTCTGTGGTAAAATCAGAAGTGACTCTCTGAGGCCAAGAGTGAAGATTAGGGCTCAGGACATCTCTTACATCAGCAGGCTTTCTTCAATGCAAACGGTTATTTTGATTTCTTAATCCAAAAGTAAAGCCTTCTGGCATTGAGCTTGTGGGGTGATAAATGAACAAATAATTCAGTGCAGTGGGAACTTCACAATCAGCTCTAACAGATTCACCACTAACACAGTGTGGTTTTCTGTGTAGGTGTAAGACAAAGACAAACTATGTGGGTACCTGTTGCTTTTGCACTCTTGCTGACAATACCTAAGCCTAAGTAGGTCAAATAGGAACAATGCTCATTGCTAAACGAGAACTCTATCAGCATTTCTAGTTTCTCTCTCTCCCTCTCCCTTTTATTTTCTTCCCCAGGACTTTAATCTTTTATATGAAGAAGCAAAATATTACCAGCTGCAGCCAATGATTAAGGAACTTGAGCGATGGAAACAAGAGAAAGAACAAAGGAAACATTTCCAGCCTTGTGACTGCTTGGTCGTCAGAGTGACTCCAGATCTGGGAGAGAGAATTGCATTGAGTGGGGAGAAAGCTTTAATAGAAGAGATCTTCCCGGAGACTGGGGATGTCATGTGCAATTCTGTGAACGCCGGCTGGAACCAGGACCCTACCCACGTTATTAGGTTTCCTTTGAATGGGTACTGCCGGTTGAACTCAGTGCAGGTAACGTAATGGCCTTTTGGTGCTGGCTTATCTGTTTGCTGGGGTGGGTTTTTTAGTATTTCTTGCTCAATTATATGCAGATTATTTGCTTCTGCCCGATTACTTTCAGTGCTTATACTGCAAGGAGACATTTTCTGCCTGGTGAGATCACAGCCTTTCAGGTTTTCCTAAGTCTAAGCAGAAAAATAGATTTAGATTTTGTGTATGTTAGTGCCATGCTGGTCTCATAATGGTGTTACACTGATAAATGCTAATTTTTTCATCAATGTACAGCCTGCAGCAGGGTTTTTTTTTTCCTCCAAAGTGCCCCCAGGAAGAAAGAGAGAGTTCCAAAAACTACAAAAAAAAATCTCCACACCATTTTATAGAAAATGCAACAATGTGTAAATGCATAATTTATGTCTCACTCATAATTAAATGATGGTGCCTGCGGGATGGACTTAAAAAAATTGATCTCTGCACTTTTTTTTTTTTCAAAAGGATGTTCTATAAAAATTGCCCAGAGTATTTTAAACAAAATGTATTTCATTTTATACTCAGAGTTTTGACATTAGGCTTAAAATTAAACATATGAAACAAAAGAAGATAACTGGACAGATAGGTAGATGGTAGCAGAAATAAATCTGTGGCTTCCGTGCAGGCAGCAGCCTTACAGACAAGAAATGCCATTTCACAGTGGATCACCACTGTGGCCAAGGCCTTGATGTTGTAGTTATCCTTTGGCTGCAGAAAGGAACAGTGTTGGTGATGCTGTTAACTTGTGCCTTACAAGGTCAAAACAGCTCTCAGCTTTCGCATGTATGCCTCTAAAATATGCTGCAAATACTGTGGAAAGTGAAATCAGCCTGTGAGGAATATTTCCAAAGTTACTGTCCCTTGCTGATGGGCTGCGGGTGCAGATGTTAAATGGGCTGTGGGAAAGGCTTTAGTGGCCTTGGTGCACTTCCCTGTGGTCAAATACCCACAGAAGAGCTGGCCCATGGGACAGGCTGTCCAGACTGTGAAGACCAATAAAGGTGGATGCAGCCATTTTAACAGTGCACATCTGACACTGACATGTCCCTCCCTGGGGCAGCACCCCCTGGTGCTCCATGCACTCATAATGCTTTTGTCTGAAACCAGTCTAAACCCAGCTGGTTTGGATGGTTTGATTCAAGTCTCCCAAGTGTTTTATTTGGTTGACTTTTGGTCAGGCTGATGCCTGTGGTTGATTCTGTGTAGTCCTTTGCAATTTCACATTTGGCAAGGGTTAGAGTGGACTGCTAGAAATAGGAAGCTGGAGGTGGGTTGGAGGCAGATCCATTTGCTGGCAGTGGGAATGGTGATGTATTCATCACTGTGCTGGGTGGAGAAGGAAGCAGCTGCACTTCAGCTAAGGTGAGTGGATGGGGAAGCGTGTTTGTATTTCAGCCACCCTATCCTTGTGACACAGTTACTCGCAAGGCAGAAATTAGAATACACAAGCAACAAAGGGCCACCAGTGGGCTCAGCACTGCCAGCAGTCAGGCAAAGAGCTGGATGCCCACCAGGCTGAGCACTTGGCTCTGGATAAGCCAAAGCGGTGTGCAGTAGAAACTGAATGCTAATTAGTGTTAATATTTGAATGTGTTTTGAATTCAGTCAGAATTCAGATGGAATCAAAGCATCTCTTCACAAGTTCGTGTTGTGAAAAAATTTCTGTCAGCCTGCAGTATAAATAATAATACTAAATTACATCACTTTACTAAATTACATGATTTTACTATATAATTAATAGAAAGTGTTTTCAAACATTTTCTGCAAAATGATGCATTTCTGAGACCAAAGGCTGATGAAATCAGCAGCTAATTATCATTGGCTCTGTGGGACTCTGGTCAGCACAGAGGTGCTGCCCCTCCTTTCCCAGGGTTTTTTGGCAAAAGTCAGAAGTTGGAAGTACAGGGAAGCAAGTGCCCCAGACTTAAGGGAGATGGGTTAGAAGGGTAAGTGGGTGAGACAGCAGAATCATTTTCAAAGCAGCTCAAAGGGCGACGCAGTCAGTCTGCCTGCTGCTTGCTCCAGTACAGCACTTTTGCCTCCCTGTGCCTTGCTGGCTTGTTGGTGGCAAAATTGCAATATTTTTCAATTCTTCCTATCTTTGGAAGGTATTTCCATTAAAGGCTTTGTTTCCAGAGCTGCGCACTTCCAACAAAGAACGTCAACAGTGAGTAGGTAGTGGTAGCCAAAAGAATACAGTAGCTCTTAATTTAATGCCCATTTGTAATTACTAACAGGTATACAGTTTTCTTAAGACTGACAGTGTTTATTCAAGTCCTTGCAAAAGGTTCTGGCGAGATACAGGAGCTTACCTTAGAGAAAATTCTGTGGTGCTTGTTTATGTTGAACATTGGGTCTTCATAATTAAGAATGTATTTGTTAGCATTCTGCAAAGTTTAAATGAGGTGCGTTAAGTGAAAATGTTGTGTTTCTATTTAGAAAAGAGTGCAACAAAATCAGATGTGCTCAGGATACTGGGAGACAGAGTATGTTAAATCATGGAATCCCAGACTGGTTTGGGTTGGAAGGGACCTTAAAGCTCATGCAGCTCCAACCCCCAGCCATGGGCAGGGACAGCTTCCACTCGACCAGATTACTCCAAGCCCTGTCCTACCTGGCCTTGAACACTGCCAGGGATGGGGCAGCCACAGCTTCTCTGGGCAACCGGTTCCAGGGCTTCGCCACTCACAAGTCCTCTAATACTGTGTCCCCCCATACATACGAGAATTGCAGCTAATGCTCACCTTTTGACATACTCTCTTTGGAGGTTTACAGGACAGAAGCTCCAGTTTGACTCAGAGACACTAGTTTCCCTCTGTCTGTATCTTACCTTTGGAAAAAGTAATGTGCATAGAAGCAAATGCAGTAAATGGCATTTAAATCTGTCCATGTTTAACATTCTGTTGAGTCTTGTGCACGCACCAGCACGTACAAACCAGTGCTCAGCATACGTGGAAGCAGCCTTTAGGAGCCTTTCTCCACAGAGCTGAGTTCAAGGTCATCCAAGTTACACTTGAAAAGCTACAATATTTAAACATTCTCTGCATTGTTTACAGGATTTGGCTCCGTTTGTTTCTTGCTGAGAAACTGGATGATAGAGTTTGTTCCGTTTGTTTCTGGCTGAGAAACTGGTTTTTAAGGTTAGATAGCCTGCAGTCTAGTCCTTTGAGCACTTAGGTAGTAAAACCGAATCACTTTGTTCTGCGTGCAGTGCTCTAAGGTGTAATGCCTACCTGGACTGTGTGTGTGCAGAAAGCTGGCTGAGGGAAGAGGAGTCCTATGTTAATAGGCAGCCTTCCGTATCTTTGGACAGAGGCAAGCCAAGGGCAGCCCTGCGCTTGGTTTATATTACAAGGAAATTGACCTGAAAAAGTTTTTATCAAGGATTTTGAAGTCACGTCTCTCTCTGAAATCTTACCCATCAGTCCTCTGGTTTGCTATCCAGATAAACAGAACCAGCCTCCTTTCCTGTAGCTGGGTTGCCTCTCATATTCATCTTGCCAGCTCTAGGAATGCAATGCAGTCAAAATACTCTCCAGCTCATGGAACAGCAGTCTGATGATGTCATCCTCTTCTTTCCCTCTCAAACACCTGCTTTCCTCTTTCAGCTGGAACAAGTGTTAGTGTACGCACCCCATTTCTGTCTTGCAGGCAGCATACAGCCCCAGTAAGAGAGTTGTAAGCATCTTAAATGTATTGTGATAACCCACCCTCCCACCCCTTCTTTTAATCTCCCCAGGTTCACTTTTCTACCATACACTGGTGCGCTCTTTCGATCTTTGAGTTCCCATGGATTAAAACCAGCAAATGCTGCTGCCATGGCTTGCATTACACCAAGGTACCATCTCAGATAGTTGTCCTTTGCCCTTAATATAGGCTTCGAATTGATGTTTCTGGAGAAAGCACACCCAACATGCAGGCCAAGGAAAGGGTACATTAAGAAATGCACCATGGCCTTGCATGGGTCTGTGTGTCAGGGCAGCAGTCTGGTGTGCAGATCTTTTAACAGTCAGCTTGGGGTGTGAAATTTAAGACTTTTCAGTACTACTGCAGTAGGTGTAACTGCTGCAGAGCTCACAGGGCTAGTAAAACCAAAAAAGAAAGAAAGTTCTTCCCATAACGTAAACCTGTAAAAGCATATGAGTTGCCTTTGACTGAATGTGTGTCTATTGCTTAGACACTTAAACACACTCAGGTTTGAGTGATCCAGAGAAGCCGTGGCTGCCCCATCTCTGGCAGTGTTCAAGGCCAGATTGGATAGGTCTTGGAGCAGCCCGGTCTAATGTAAGGTGTCCCTGCCCATGACAGAGGGTTGGAACTGGATGAGCTTCAAGGTCCCTTCCAACCCAAATCAGTATGGGATTCCATAATTCTATGGTTAAGTTTTTTAAGTGGCTTAGTCCCTTTTCTGTCCCTAGTCTGTCGCTGTGGGCAGCAGACAGCTGGCACATGGGGATGCTGGTGTTGCCAAGTTCGTCAGGTTTAATCCATCATTGGGTTCAGTTCCCATCACAGCAGGCTCGTGTGCTGTGGCAATGGACACGGTGCCTTGGGCACATACAGACCAGTACAGGCTGCTCCTCTTGATGGCATTTACCGGTAGAAGAACCTTTTTGCCAGGCTGCTGCCCTGGACCCGGGAGAGCCACCACTGGTGGGAGGCTGCACAGCAGCTCCTCCAGTAAAGCATTGCAGAGCAGCTGAAGGTGGACCTGGCATCTGCTCTGAGAAAACTCTGCCTGCATCCTGCTCTGCTGGGAAACCATGTATCAACATGCTCATGCATGTGGAAACATGGCCCCGAACATACTGCCGAGATCAGTATATCCTAGGGTAATGTGCTGTGTGACACAGCCTCAGAAATTAAAGTTGCCTCTGGGTTCCTTAAATTCATGCATCTAAATTGCACCAGCTTTTCTTCAGAAGGAGAAAGAGAAAATACGTATTTGGTTAATAAAAATGATCTTCTTTCTTGGGCCGGAGCGTTTCCTGTTTGTCCTTGTCTTGGGTCCACATCCCATCCCAGGCATGCTTTGCATGCACCATACAGCAGCACTCCCTTCCAGCGAGTGAAAACCACGACTGTGATGTCCATGGAGATGTGGTGGAATGTGTGGAGATGTGTCCCTCAGCCTCCTAAGGCATTGTCATCTGCCAAGGATGAGCTGAGATGTTTTCAGCCCCTTTCTGTAAGCCTGTTCATACTGCTAATGAGTAATGGGCACTTTTCATTACAACCTAAACCTGATGTTGCTTCCTGTAAGCAGTAAGATATAACATCGCCACAGTACAGTATTTTACTATATAATGTACTAAGCTGCTCTGCAGAGCTCTTATTTGTGTGATTAATTTTTGTTTTCTGCAGAGGTTTGCTGAGAGCGAGACTTTAATCACAGCATAGTCATTTAACAATAACTTAAAAGAATTATAGCTGAATAATATTCATTCGATGAGGACTGGTAAGACTAAATCCGCCATTTAGAGCCAGTCATCCTGAATGCTTCAATCACTAAAATTTGCTAAATATTAATCTGAATTTTTTTCCCCACATTGCAGGTGCTTGAAAGATTATTTCAGAAGGGGTTCAATGTGGCAGCTTCATGCGGTGGTGGGGTGGATTCCTCTCAGTTCAGTGAATACGTGCTGTGTCGTGAGGACAGACGACCACAACCCACTCCAACCATCAGAATAAAACAGGAGCCCCTGGACTAGACCCTACCCCCCTACTCCTTTGTAACCGTATAAGTGTTTAATAGTCCCTTATGTGAAACACTAAGAATTCGGAAAACAGTATTAGCAAACAGATTTTGACTTTAAGTTGCCAATTAGTGGTATTCTGAAACTACCTGTCACATAGCCAGCCATGAAATGCATTTGAAAAACCAGTTGTTCGTTTTTCACGATGGAATTACTGAACATGCTCAGCATCCCAGGCCGGCTGGGAATGTACTTTGGGCTGAACAGCGGTGGTGGTGGTGGAAAAGGCAAAGGTTCATCAGCCACTGGCCCTAGGTTGGACTTGTGAAAGAGCAGTAAAAGCAATTTGAATAGATCAGCAGGAGAAGCAGTTCCAACAGCCTTTCCAGCTGTACCCCGACGCTGTGACGCATGGAAGCAGGAGCCTCCGAGAGGAAGATGGTTCCTTAAAAAGTGCACTGAGTATCTTCCCTGACTGCCGCACCTCCTTCATATCAGACGTGGTTTACACCTCCATACATGACGTGACACTTCTGTGATTGTACTCGCTCGTACTAGCAAATGGCTTATTTTTATACTACATTTTCAACAGATATATCTCCCTATGGACAGACTCCAGAATCTGAAAAGGACCAATTTATAGTCAACTGGTGCTCCGTACTAAAAAAAAAACCACACTAAACAAAAAAATAGTGACAAAAAAATTGACAAGGCCCATTTTGGCAATGTTTGCAAAAGTAGGGATCTGGAAGCACAAAACAAAATGCTGCCATCCCACAAGGGTGACATACCCAACATGGAGCTGTAGTTCTCTTAAAGACAGTCTTGTTTTGACTCAGAAACTGTTAGGTTTGGCATCATCAAAGCAGCGTGGTTCTGCCAAGCAAGCTCTGCCATCCCTTGTTAATCATTTACTGACCATGTTGTAAGCCCACATTTAGGAGGAGGCATTAAGAATTTTAGATAAGCCTACATTTTTTTTGCAAAATTACTATTATTTGTAATTTTGCAAAACTATGTTAAACCCCTCTCTACTGTCCGATGGAAGCCAGACGTGCTTGTTTAGATTCGTTTCCCTCTATTTCTGTAAACTATTATTAAAATACAGTTTGGTAGCTGCCCCCACCTGTAATTTTGTCTATTGAAGCAGGCTGTCTGCAGGAGGTGACTGCTCCTTCCATAAATTGGTATCAGCTCTGACTCACAGGGCTTCCTAACTCAGGAGACAGCACCGGGTTTGCAGGTGCAAGGTTATAAATAGCATTCTGCTAAATCCTGTTGATTGCTGTTTGGCATGATTGGGTCCTCAGTAACTATTTCATGTGTTAATCACAGTTTAGTTTCTCCCACATTAATTTATAGAATACTGTTGTAGATGCTGAATTTTAATGAAACTCTTCTTAGATGCATAAATACAGCCAGATAGAACAAGGGACAGAGTATGAAGTGGTCAGAAATTCCTTAATGCCAATTGATCACAATCAGGCAAAATTAAAAAAATCATTTTTTAAGACTAATACTTTCAACAGCAGTGAGCTGTACTGGCTGCCCAAGGGACAATCTAGGCAGGGGTCTAATTTTTGGAAGAGGGCTGGATACCTGTCCATGGAAAATCAGACCTCCCTAGGTTTCCTCACCTTGGTTGCCCAACTCGGCAATCTCGCAGCCAGTCAGCATTAGCCTGCTAATTTAGCGGAACACTTTGAGCACATGTGTCTACTTCAAAAGAGTTGTAAAGTTATTTTATTTTGTGGTTTTATACTTGTATGACATTCTTAAGTTGCTAGGCATTGCCATATCTGAATATATGGCACAACATTCACCTTTGTATGTAAGATATCTGTAGAATTGTACATTATACATTTAATATTGTAAAGAACATAATTGTCATGTATTTGTGTATGCACATTTCTCATACAGTAGTTCATGCCATAAACATTTCTGTAAAGTAAGTGATCAAAAATAAGCAAGTAGGGTGGAACACTCACTGTATCTTCCATGTTGTTTGAAAGACGTGAGAGTTTTCAATTGCATCGCTTCTGGCTTTTGCTCCATTCACCTCTATGTAGCCAGGTCTTACAAAGAGGAAAAAAAAGTGTTTTATTTATTACTTTCATACATTGAGTTCACTTTGAGTTCAGAGTATCCTTAAATAAGCTGTTTAGCTTGTTTTGATCCTACATACACTTAATGTCTTGCCCTCCTGGACAGGGAGGTTTGTGGTTGGTTGGTTTTTCTTCAGATTGGTGTTTTTTACCCTGTGTTTCTTTAGAGCTCAATAAAACAGCTCTAGTGACTGGGGCAGCTTGCTAAGGTGGCATTGGAAAGGGTTCCAGGCTGCACCAGCCAAGTTAAATGTGAACTTGAGATGGAAAGTTTGAGCCATGACATCACAGCATTGACTGCAAAATAGCACTAAGGCAAAGAAGACATGTGGAAACAATCACTTGGATAGAAGAAATATGCCTTTAAAACAAAGTTAAGCTAGGACATGTTCTTTTAGTTAGTAACTTCAGGTCACTTATTTAAAGTTTATTACAGTTTCTTTTATATCTTTTTTTAATTTCCCTATATTTTTAAGGCAGCAATAGCAGCAAAAACTGATCTGAATTCTTACTTCTGGCCTTAGACCATAGCAACATAACTTAAGAACATTGCTCAGCATTGCTAAGACGGATTTTAGAACACCCCAGCAAGCCCAGCGAAGGCTAAAAAACCATGGAGGCCAAGAAGCAAACACAGCCAGGCTTCTCGCCCAACTCAGCTGCACAAAACAGTCCCAATTCTCCGTTGCTGAAAACTGAACCTGTGGCTGGAAGAACCTGGGTCTTCAGTAGCACTTCCCATACACTTCCCACCGCTGTGCTCCCAAGCCTCGGAAGGAAAGCAAGAGAGAAAATGTTCTGTTGTGCTTCTTGAACTGACAACTGCTGAGTGCATTCATTCACTGTATTAACAGCATCAGGGTTCGATGACAATTTTATTAGATGTTTGACAAAGGATAAGGATCAGCACAACAAAACACTGAAGTATTTGGGTTTAGTATTTCTTTGAGGGTATTCTGTTAATATTTTAATGCAAAATGTTCCTGAACAGTGCTCAAGAACGACAAGACAATGTGAAATTCCTGTTTGATAAATTAATACTGTATGTTACTCGATGTGTTACTTTAGTAAATTGTTTTATTTCTTTATAAAATAAGTACAAATAAGGGAGTATGTTTTCACACAAGTTGGGGATATTTACGAATATGTACATAAATCATCAAAATAACGTAATTCTAATAAACACAAGGCCTTTATAAACAACATGTACAAATGATCAATAAATTTAAAACATAATTTTACACTTTCTGGCCTTAAATATGTTATGAATAATCTTTTGGCTAAATAGCAGCAGTATAAATTTTCTTCTGCTTTTCATGAATCTTAAAAAATAATTAAAACTTTTGTTTTAAAACTATCGGACAAATAGTTCTGTTTGTGCTTTCGCTATGTTTTCCCCATCTGAAAAAAAAATTGCCTCAAAAAAGTGGCAAGCATAACATGGTAAAAATTGACAGGATAAACAAGCAAACGTCTCCCCTTCAATGGTTACTCCTAATACTGTTATGTTTGAAGTAGAACTTGTGCCCACCTGCCTGGTCAATACTCATAGACAATCCCCATTTAAAAGACTCACACTAATGTCACTTGGCTTTGTTGTAGGCCTCTTAAATCCCACTTCAGCAAAGCATTTAGAAAGCATTCATCCCACCTTTAAGTAATTAACACTACTCATTATGCTTCAGTCATGTACTTGTTCATGTGCCTCTCTGGACTGGAGTCCAGTCTTCCAAGGCCAGGACATGGCCAGGCCGCAGGCACTGTGGCACCAGGGCTCACTTGATCTTCCACAAGTGGAACCAGCCCCCAAAACTCCCCTTACAGCGACTTTAAAATCCATGTGTACAATACTCTGAAATCTTCACTGAACAATACGTCTCTTTCAAAACCACCATTAAACCATACTCTGCAATAAATAAGGTTTTTTTTAACTTTGCTTTAGAAAATAAAACCCAACTTTGATTCATGTTACTAACCAGTTGCTACAAATGTGCAAAAGGTTGAGAAGATTCCAGAAAACAACTGGACGTTAGTCCAGGTAACTCAGCTGAGACCCAAGCACATAGATTTCACACACTTAGGATTTGGTTCAGAAAATGGCTCAGAGGAAATGAGCTGTGCAGTAAAAGCAGAAATCCTAACTATACAAAATGTGTGAGAGTATGCAGTGGCTATTCTCTTAGCTGTGCAAAAGACTGCAATTATAACTAATCTAAAATAACAACAGATACGTTGTAGCCATGGTTAGTGGAAACTTCTAACGAAATTAAAGAGGAAACAAACCCAACACCTTTCATGAGCATACAGGTTAACATCACAGTTAGGCTCCAGTCCTGTAAACCTGTCCCAGTCCTCCTTATGCAGATGGTTGTGGTGAGCCATCGCAACAGCCTTACCAGTCAACACCATCCACTGCAGCTGTACCTGAAGTGGCCAAATGAAGCAAGACTTCAATGGTGGTTGTATCTCTAGATTTAACATTTTAAAACCTTTTGCACATTTTTGTGGGTTGTTTTTTTTTTTTTTTTGTGTGTGTGTTTTTTTGTTTTTTTTTTCTTACATAAAGGGAATTTATTGCATGTGTTTGACAATTTTACAAAATAAAATTACTGGAACATAGACTTCTGAAAAAAATAGAAGGCACATTAAAATGACAGCTTTTTAATGCAAGTTGAGCTTCTGTATGGAGAATTCAGTACAATTCTTGGCTTTACTTAAGCAGAGCTCGATAGAGCAGGAGAGAATGGCTCATTTCTCTTTCCTGTTCCATGTAGAAGATGAAGTCCCTGAGGTTTATGCGAGTTATTTTCTGTCGTGCATACTGCCGGGATGAAGGAGTGCCCAAACCAGCCTGACCTCCGCTAGACATACCGAGACCCTGCAAACAGAACATAGCAAAGTCAAAAGTCCTGCAACAGCAAAGAGTTTCCTCATACTCTCAGGTTTACAACTACTTTTTATAGCAGTCAGTTTACAACTGACTGCTGTATCATTTGAAACATCTTTGATTATTGTGAGTTTAATTCTGAAAATATTACACGAGACTTAGTTTATTCTTTTTCTATTCTTCTGAGTCTTACCAAGTTATCCTGAGTAAAGAAACCCAATTGAAAACACACATGAGGCTATAGACCTTGGTTCATTTGCAACTCAGGATAAGTATGTCTGACTTACTGTCCTGCTACACGCGTGTTAACCATAGACTTGACCAGTTTAATTTCAGGAACCTATTTAGGACAAAACTATTTGTAGCAGATAAAGCCATCATCAGTACAGCGAATGTGTGCGCCATTCTACTCCACATCCTGGGTCTAGGACTGGAAAACAGTGAGTGGTATATCAGGATGCTGCTACTGCAATAACCTCTGCAGCTGTGAGTCCCACAGGGACCCTGATTCTCTCCTCTGAATCTACCAAAGAGAAATGCTCAGTGTGGGGAGAGATAGTCGGCAACCTTGCTCCAGTACACAACCAATACTCAGCTGAGAGATGGAAAATCAAACAGAAAAATCACAAGGACATTGTGTGATGATAAAGACAAATAACAGTACTAAGGCTATATTAAATAATTTTTATTTCTGTTTTTTAAATTGGTTCAGGGGTACTGAATTACTGCATACCTTATCCTGGCTTTCTATATGTAGAGAGAAAACACACAGACTGGGCATGAGACCACTGTGCTCTGACTATTTAGAAACTGAAAGGACAAAATTACAGAGACTCTGCAGTCCTGTTGAGTTTAAAACTGAAATGCAACACACACACATGCAACCCTTTTTTTATCCTTAGGAGACCACTGTTTTTATTAATTCCAATTGATTTCTGGCAAAACAAACTTTTAACTTAGAATATCGGTTTTAATCTCTAAAATTATTTAAATTATTTTTCAAACCTTTAAGATATCTGGAGTTTTCAATACTTTTGAAATCCCAAATTTACATACTGCTGCTCTTACTAACCAACCTTTCTTTCCCCAGGAAATACTTATTCTAGGATCTTAATTCTAGCCATTAAAAATACAGTTAATTGTAACTCTACTACTGAAAGATTGTAGGGGAAACATATATGGTACATTGCAAGTAAGACATGGCACTGTTTTCTCCGTTGCTTTTCTCCCAGCTTATCAGCAGTCAGACTCCTTGCAGAGCTGTGCTGCTCAAGATAATTTCTCCTATACATGATTATTAAATCACGGTAGTGGGGCAAATCCTATTCTCTTGTAACCAGAACCACAAAAGTTACATGAATGTGGCTACGCTTGCAAGCAAGAGAGGAAGAAGCCCACAACCTTTGAGTACCATGAGCATTTGATCTGAAGGATTCTGTTCTCCCGTGTGGAATAGCTTTTGTTAACAGATTGATTTATTAACTAACCTCACTGCTCATAGGAAAAGCATGTGCTGCAGCTGCAAGGGTTGCTCACCCATGCTGATGCCAAACATATCCCCAGCACACAATCCATTTATTTCGTGGTGCCCTGAATTCTATGCCAAAACACTCTGCATTTGTAAAAGAAATAGCATCATTTAAACTCCTATTCTTCATCTTCCACATGTCGTGAATGATCCACTACCTTAAGTTGCCTCTCACTCGCGCTCTGACCATGGATCCACTTTGCCAGGGCTGTTGCCACTGTTTCCTACTCTCCAAGTAACCACCAAATAGATCTTTAAGTCAAGCTGATGCAAAAATACTTTTCTTTCGTCTCTGCTCCCCACATGATGCATCTTTCCCCCTGCCCCCAGTAGTACTTCAAATTCACCGTGACAAACACGCTAGTAAGAAATGTGGCCACCTTGAACTTCCTGAAAAGCACTGTCCATAGCACACTGGACTGGGACCGGCCTGCACACACTACCTAAACAGTCATAGAAAAGCTACTTAATTTTTTATTTTTTTTCTTCACATAAACTCATTTCCTATTTGGACAAAATAGCTGGAATTAAGACATGAGGGTGCTGAGGCGCTGGCACAGGTTGCCCAGAGAAGCTGTGGCTGCCCCATCCCTGGCAGTGTTCAAGGCCAGGTTGGACGGGGCTTGGAGCAACCTGGTCTAGTGGAAGGTGTCCCTGCCTATGGCAGGGATTGGAACTGGATGAGCTTTAAGGTGCCTTCCACCCCAAACCAGTCTAGGACTCTGTATTCATTGCATGTATCACTCAAGATACTGAACTTTCACACAGGAAGAACAAATACTACATGCAACATCATGACATGGAGCTGTGCACTTTCATAACCACACTGGTGAGCCAGTCAGCTACCTGACAATGTTCTGTAATTCTTCTGGAAGGTGGATACAAAATTGTAAGATTTTAGGAAGTACAGAAGCATCTCTAAGCTGACAGAACAGGGATTTAGATCTGTCAATATGATTTCTAACTTAAAGACTAATTAGTTTGCTACTCAGAATAATTATTCTGCAGATGCTATATAAGAAATGCAGACTACTAAATGCCATGAGTTTTTAATTATATACATGAATGCTAGCAGAGTTAAAATTAATTGCCAAGAATACTGGAACTGAAGTAAAATGAAGATCTTTCTCCAGAAAAATGACATCTTTTGTCAGCATGACAGACTTTTCATTAACCCCAATGAGCCCTTTGTTGTCTGTATCTATGGCAACTAATATAAGTTACAAAGACAAAAGCTTGAATAAAAGATGTTTACATCCTTTATTTCCTGGCCTGCCACACCCAAGCTATTCCCAAATCACACCCACTCAAATATACATCAGTACCAGCTTTGGTATGAGTTAAAAATTAAGGAAAATTGAAGATGTTCCAGACCAGAAAAAATCATTTAATTTAGATGCAAACTCCTTCTCCTCTTCATTTTGAGACTGCTTACATACACAAGGTACAGTGACTTCTCATCCCCTTCCATCTCATCCTTCACTTTCCCCCACTGCCTCTTCTCCCTTGCCACTTCAATCCTACTCTCTTGTAACACACCACAGCAACTGGTGACAGCCTTGAACTTGGCAGCTGCAAATCCCACAGGACAGCAAGGAAGACACAGAGAGCAAACAAATTATTTTGTGCTCCACGTGTTCTTCGTGCGGCTACAACAGGGCTTTCCCAAGACCCACACACAGCACCCGCTCCCAGCTGGGAATGAAGACAAAATAAGTTCAAGGAATTCAACAGACTGCCATGGTGCCATGCTCTCTGTTAACCTATAATCCAGGACACACTGAAACAGTTGGGAGTCCATTTACTTTAATGGGTTTTAATGCACTTCAGACACGCAGAGCTCAGAGTATTTTAAATAACACTGCTGGACTCTCA